TATGTACTGATCGTGTATGTCTGTTTCCGAATTTAAACACTCTTAAGATAGTTTTTTTTTAATTTTAGTTTCTAAAATTAAAAATTTTTTTTTTTGTTAAATTTAAAGACAGTTTTACAAACACATATTATTTTTTCAATAAGAATTTTTTGGAATTTATCTCAAGAGAAATATTTGACGCGTTTTTTAGTTACATATGTAGATTATTAAATACTTTGTATAATATTTTTTATATTGTATTCAGCATTTCCCACTTGACACTCTTTGATCGGTTAGTTAATTTTTTAAAACGTGTTGAAAGTCGAAAAACTTTTATTTTTTTTCAATATTATTTTATGGATGTGAAATTATGGTTTTTTTAATATATTTTATTTTTAAAAACATATTACCTTTAATTAAACAGATAAGTTATATTTGAAGTAGTAATTGTTAATTAAAATACAGAAATGTATGGTGAATTCATCTGAGTATCCAAAATCAATATAATTTTGTTATAGTTTTCAAAATTGATATCTGTTGGATTTTTAAATTATAAATATGAACTTGAACTTGTTTCACTTTTTATTATAATATTTGCATTTTATTTGGTTATTATTTATATAATTGTTGTTTCTAGGATATTTTTTTTTTTCAAAATCGAATCTTATTTTTCCAGTATTTATTATGTGGAAGGCACTTGACACACTTGAGTTACATTAAACTCGTAGCAGTGTATTTTCTAAATTATTTTTTCTTATGTATGTTTTTTATATTTTCTTAAAAAAATATTTTCTCTTTTATTTTTTAGAAAATATTATATTTTGGTTTTTATTATTTTTCAAAACATTATTTTAAAATATATTTTTTTAATAAAAATATATTTTCCATGTTTATTTCTTATTTTTCGTTTATTTGTCAAAACTCGGTTTTAAGGCACTTGCATTTCAAATGTTTGTGTATTGAAAAAGAAGTCAACACAACATTTTTTTTTTTTTTAGATTTTAGGCACTCATAATAAAATCCACTTGAAGGCACTTTTTTACAATCATTTTAGATATTTTTAAGTTTCGCTTCGCTTATCGAACGTTTCGGAGAAGACACGACTGAGCACTGCAAACGCAGCTGATGAACTGCATCAAATGTGGCAACATTCATAGCCAATGACTCCATTGGAAGTGGATATCTGCACGCTTTTCGCTTCTTTTGTTTTGCTTTTGTTAGTTGTTTTGTTGTTATGCTTTGTGTTTTGGAATTTTGTTGTATTTGTTGTCGCTGCTGCTACATTGGTTTGTTTACATTTCTCGGGGGAGATTTGTTTATATCGTTGGGCCACACATAGCATGGCATAGCGAGCATAGCGGTGGCGATTGTGTGGCGTATCTCATGGTTACTCATTGGAATGGATGCCGCTTTCCAGTTTGCTTTTTGGAAATTCACAAATGTGAGAGTTGAAGAGAGCGAAACAAGTTTTGCTGGAGATTTATATTTTACAATTCAATTCTCGTGGGAATTGTGCATACAAGTTAACAGTTGTAGGTAATTCGACAATTACAGTACTATGCTGTGTGATGTATAGCGCTATGTAGTTTCGACCAGTTTAACAGTGACTATTTATGTTATTCAGTTACAGAAATGTAAAGGTATTGTCGTAGATTTAATTGTTTGGTGGTTATTTTAAAAATTAAAAGAAATTAATTATATACACTTATATGGAGGTCCGAAGTTTGAGCCCATCGGTAAATTTAATTTTAAAGAAAGTGTATGGATACTCCGATCTGATCCAAACTTTACACACATTACGATTAATAAAGTTTTGCGGGGAAAATTGGTTCATTTCTTCAGGAACCTCCCACATTACACATATTTATAACAAAATCATAAATCTTCTGAAACAGGTCGGCAAAGTGTAGGCCGATATTGATAACGCATGGTAGGGTGGAACATGTGTCTAAAATCCTCAAAATATGAGGATTTACCTAAAGGAGGATCAATATTGATTATTTCTGGGAAATATCGAAAATGGGGAAGTGCGTTTAAATTGTGTATCTTGATATAGCAAATTTTCTATCCTGATATATTACATTTGTATTTCGATACCCTCCAACTGTAGTATGGTTACAACAGATGTATAGGCGGAAATATGGATAACTTGTATAAAATTATAGATTTCAGAATACAAACTGACAATTTCGAGTCCAGAATATGCCCCATGGTGGAATACGTTTATATGGCGACAAACCCCAACACCCAAATCAAATCAGATAAGTATTTAAATATAAAAATTCCAATAATAATATTTTTAGTTAGGGAGATTTTTAACCAAAGATAATAGGTTTGGAAACCCCAGAAATACTGACAATTTGGGTATATGTGTACTACTCAAAAAATTGGAACAAATTTTATAAATTTTGGCGGGGAGATTTGGTACCCAATTTAAACCCAACATACCAAATTACAGTCCTTCGATGGAAAAACTAGTCCAAATTCCTCAAGATCCACATATTTGGATCGTTATTTGGAAGCTATACAAAAAAGTGGGCTTAGGTAGGCCCACTCCTTCTGGTATCTCTCCGACAAAGGGTCAATATGTAAATTGAATTTGCACTGATTTAATCAACATTAAATCCGAAACCTCTTTGATAAAACATAAAAGCGAATAATAAAACCGAAGACCTGTATGCTGAGGGTACACATCTGTCGACAACCCCATCTGACATGCTTTATACGTTAGTGGAGAGATTTGATACCCAATAAGAACCCAACCAAATTACAGAGAATTCGGTTGAAACATTTTGCCGATCTATCTCAATTTGTTTAGAGGCTGGAGTGATTGCAACAGATTGACGCTACGTACTATGGTTGGAGGGTAACCATCCAAGAGTCCGAAATGCTACAGTCTTCAAAATACCGAAAAAGGTTAGGTGATACCGTTATATTGGGTCTATAACAAAATTAGGACATGTAAAGAAAGCTTTCTGTAAAAAAATAAGCAGTAAGGAAAGTAGTAAAGTGGGCCGACTATATGATACCCTTCACCACTTTGGGCATATTATACATATGTATCCTAAAAGACGTCGCCTTTTCGAAGGAACATTGACATGAAATTGAAAGAACTTAAATATGTGATCTTTATCTATATCTAAACCGACTAACATCAATCCCTACACAGCCTACACATATGCTAAATTTTGTAAATCGATTTAAAGCTAACTTCACACGCTATTCGGTATGCTGCACTTTTTAAAATTTAATCTCAATCAAACACCCATTGATTGTTTGGTGTACAATAAACATGAATAAGTCGAAATTATATATGGAAGCTATGCTATATCTATATCTGAACCGATTTCAAATTAAGGGAACCCCCCCCCCCCCATTCTCGATTTGAGAAAGAGTACATGTCTGGCTCTCGTATGAACTAGGATTATTGACTTCGCTCTAAAATTAACAAAATGGTGGACCTTTGAAAAAATATTTTTGGAAAATCGCCGATTTTTTACCAAAAACCAAATTAAAAAATAAGGAAGATCTTCACCGATTGGCTTTATCCTAGTTCATACGAGAGCTATACACTCCCAGAGAAACGATGCAAAATTTGGAACCGATTGGATTATTAGTTTTTGAGTTATCGTGCCCGCCAATCGCAAAAAAATGTTTAGAGAAAAACGCGTTTAAAGTTTGAGAAACCCTTAAGCCGTCACTTGATGCTGACACACTAAATCGGATATATCTTCAACAGTTCTTGAGATTTTCACTTGAAATTTTGTAGAGACATTCTTTAATCAGTGTAGATTCGAATTATATCAACAAAAATTTTGACCCCGAGAATGGGGGGGGGTCCCCTTAAGTACGTTGTGTCAATCGGCCTAGCTAGAGGACGAAAATATATATAGAAGATGTTTTTAAATCTGATCTGATAAAATGTGACGAAAATATATATATGGGAGCTATATCTAAATCTGAACCGATTTTCACGAAACTTAACACACATCATTCTAGACTTAATTCATTACGCTATACCAAGACTCGTGCAAATCAAAAGATTTGCAGGGACTTTGGTGCACCATTTACCTAAAATCGGGTGAAACTATATATAGGAGCTATATCTAAATCTGAACCAATTTCAGTAGGGTTCGTCCTTGGGCCAAACCAATGGGCTGTGCCAAATTTCATCCAATTCAGATCATAAATGCGACCTGTACTTTGCTCACAAAAATACATGGACGGACGGACGGGCAGACGGACATGCATAGATCGACTCAGAAAGTGATTCTATGCATATTCTCAAAAGGAACCATGGGTCTATCTCGATTATTTTTGCTTGTTACAAACATATGCACAAAGACATAATACCCTGTACCACAGTGTGGTGAAGGGTATAAAAATAAAACACACCAAGGACAAGTAATTCGAAAAAATATAGGCACTTCCATGCGAAAATGCACAATGAAATATATAAAACATTATGGTGCGAAGATTTGCCACTCATAATGTATCTGAAAATCTTCAGAATAATGAAATCTAAACTTGGAACGATATTGAAAAATAACCCAAAATTTTAAATTAGAGTCAGTTCGATTGAAAGCATTAAAATACCGACAATTGTGTGTACTGTTATATAACTATTCTGAAACTTGGATTATTTTCGATAGAAAAATCCTAGAAGTAGTAGTAGATTTAGATTTTAACGGACAGACTTGATCTAACCTAGCTGATTCGAAAACAGATTATATTCCGATCAAGAAATTTGAAATATTTTGACTTTAAAAAATGTTTATGGAGCAATACAAACCAATAGGCCGATTAATGATTACAATATCGATCAGAATTATTTCATAGACATAAATCAATCAATCAATGCCGAAAATTTAATTATTGATTTAAATATTCCTCTTTTTCTCTCTACTTCATTCATTTAATGAAAATTATTCCTTTTGTCGTTTTAATGCAACAACGACGACAATGAACTTTTGTACTTAAAGTTAAAAAAAAACTATTTCTTTCTTTATTCAATGACTTACCTCACCGATGCCATGCCTTTCCCTTAAGATGTTCGCGATTCCGGCAAATTTACATAGAAATTGTTGTTGAAATGTTGTTAAACATCCGTGATAGGTCGTCAAGAGGACGTCACGTGCCTCACGTATCAAAACTGCACGTGTTGTTTGATTAAAGACGGGATAAATGCTGGCAAGAAAATTGTCAATCAATGTGGCCAGTTGTGATTCCTTGAAAATGTAGCGTGGCGGCGAAGAAGAAGAAGATGAAAAAACAAACAATTAGAAAACAATCTAAGAACGAGATGGGAATAAAATGGATTACGAGAAATGTGTTTTCTTTTTGTAATGATGCCATAGAAAAAAAGATGCAATAATTTAAAAGAGCAACTGCAACATTGTATGCATCTGTGGACAGTGGTTAGCATAGAGCGAATAATACAATTCGAATTGCTGATGTAGTCTAAGGTGTTTGAGAATGTTAAGGTCTTTTGAATTGCAAAACTTGGATTTTATAAAGTTCAGATCTCCAGCAAGGCAATTAACAACGACGTCATGTCCCTGCTAATTGTGCACTATAAATGCATGAAAATGATCCTAAATTCCCCCAAAAAAATCACCTCAATCGGTGAACTTTATTTCCGCCTCCATGGATAGGTCGACAAATTAAAATGTTGCGTTTGGGGCTCGGAAAACCAAAGATATTTTATTTATTTCGCTTTCGAGCTGAGCTACATGATCGAAGTTCGCAATAAAAAGGAAAGCCGGAGATATACTACATTCCCACCATTCCCGCTGTTGGTTAAGCGGCTCATCAGACATATTGGGTAATGTGGCTTACAAATGTCGTTACTTGATACGCTAAGGCGCAGGACAACAAACGATAGATGCAATAGGAACCTAATCGCAGCTGAATTTTTGAGTTTTATGGCTTTTTAGGGCGAAAGATCATTCATGTACATATTTTTATTGATTTCTCTTTCAAGATGTGCTACACGCTGTTGAGAAGCTTTTACATAATCAACGTGCAAATGTTTGGTGCGGTATAGTTCGGCGGAGTCATTAGACCTTTTTTCGACAGTTTCGGTGAATGGATTGCGGTATCGAAAAATGATTAATACTGTTTTATTATCGGAATTCGGTGATACATTTCGAGAAAGGTTTGCAGGCCAGGTTATCTCTCGAAAACGTGGCCACAATTTGTACATCGAAATATTGTGATTTATAATTTTTCCTTCGGGACCAAGTGACAGATGAGGAGTACGCAATAGGCCAGTATCGATTTATCCTATCATTATTGAGATTCTCAGAAGCATAGTTTATCCAATTAACGATTTGGTAATAGCAAATTTCATAAAAATTATACCTTCCTTTTTAAAATGATATAATCATCAGACCATTTATCTCAAAAAATTTGAATTTTTCCTTCAATACCAAAAGCACATCTCCTATAACCTGGTTTAAATCAGAATAAAGTTTGAATACTGTGAATCTTATATGAAGGAAATTAAATAAACTAGATCCCAAAATATCATCATGATCTGTATATCGACATATCCTTCCTCCTCTATAATCTAACCACTGTTCTCAACATAAATCCAATTGATCATTGAATGGTTCGCCTTACCATTTGTGTAGCAGAATCAACTACTAATTGTCGTTGTTGTTGCGGTTCATCACCAATTCCTTTTAGATTCACATCAACATGCCTATCAGCAGGATCATCGCCATCATTATCACCATTGTCGTGACCTTCTCCGGGGCGTTGGGCCAATTGGGCCATAGATTTCTCCTCCGCCGAATTTGTCGATATTATTCTATTCCCTTTTGTTGTGTCATTTCCCTTTGAATATGTAACACTAGTCGGGGTAATGGTTGTGCTATCAATCGCATCACAGCCACCCAAACCAAAGTCAATATCTTCATAGGAATCAGCATCCATATCATCGTCTTCCATTTCCTTAACACACCCAAGGGCACAATTTGTAGAAGCACGACGACCAGCGAGATTTTGATGATGACGGCGACGACTGTTGTCATTATCGGGATTTTCCGCTCCAGCATCATCAGTATTGCCACCTAATGTTGCCACCATTGAGTCGCCGGAGTTAGTGGATGATGGCACCGTTACCGGTTGTGGCCTGCAGCGATCTCGTTTGCTGACATTTGACTCATTCATGATGACAGCATTGGCGGACATTGTTGTTAGCGAATTGTCGCTGTGCTGCTGCTGCTCGAGGTTGGTGGTGGTGTTGGCGGCCGCACTCATACCGTGTTCCGCATTAGCATTACCATTATTATTTTGACCAGCAGTGCCCACTGCGAGCCAACGATCTTTACATTTTCTCAAATAATTACGAACACGCGATGATTTGCTACGACGCACGACTGTTTCATTGATCGCCAGTAATTCTCCAATTGGTTGTATTTGTTCGGATGTGGATGTGGTTGTTGTTTGTGTGGTTTGATTCCGTTTTACATCATCACCATCATCTTCGTCAGACTTATTGTCGTTGCCGTTCGTCGTTGGTTCTTTGGTCTTATTATCAATTAGACATTCATTCGTTGTTGTTGTTACTTCCATTTCCAACTCCTGACAATCATCGACATCATCTTCTTCTTCGCGAGCAATTGGTGCGATCTGTTTGGGCATTGTTGCTGGACCGGAGTCATTACTGCAAATTATTGCTGCTGGCAATTTGTTGGCAGCAACAGCAGCAGCTGTAGAAGATTCTAACTTTGGTTGTGGGTTTTGTGTTGTGGATGGACTGGTAACAACTAAAATCTCATTTAAATCTCGTATATTTTCGCTAATTTCGTTATTTGTTTTCGATATTTTGGCTGGGGTATGTTCGATTGGCGCCGTTGTGTTGTTGCTGTTGCTCTGTAATCAAAGAACAAGAATAAGGTTATATTAGCGGAAGTTGAAGGCATGTTAGAATTTCAGTTATTATTTTTACAATAGGAGAATATTAGAATTTCCGTTAAAAATTATATTTAATGATCAGCATATTCTCCCTTCCCTATTTATTTTGTAACTATTGTGGATAGTTAAATTTAGATCCGAGAAGACGATTTTTGATAAATTTAGTCAGGTCAACTTCGTATTAAAATCACAATACTTTTTTGTTGATGAAAATCTACGCCTAGTTATCATTTGGAACAAAGTAAACATGGTCTGCTCGCCTTTGGATACTAGACACTAAGTTTTTAAAGAAATTGGTCTAAAGAAATTGGTTCTCAACAACTATGCCGAAAACTTATGCTACGGCGTAAACCTAAAATCCACCAAATCCACTGAAAGACTATGTCGAAGATCTATTGTATATTCCTATCGCAATGCTTAGGATCGGATTATAATATTATATATTTATACCCTACATAACTATGTTGTCAGGGTATTATAGCTATGTGCAGCCCCAAGTGTTTGTAGCGCCGCGAAATATTGGTCCTAGACCCACCTTTAAGTATACCGATCGTCATATCTCGACTAGCTGAGTCGATCTAGACATGTGTGTCCGTCCGTCCGTCTGTCCATTATAACTTGTAAACACGATACAGGCCACAGTTATGGACCAATCTTCACGAAATTTGCATGTATAATGGGTTCTGGCCAATGAAGACCCCTATTATTTTTGGTAAAGATCGCTTAATATATAGTGGGTGAAATGGACCAGAAACTTTATGTTTTCTGATTTTCTGGTCGCTCCAGAGGCCGCAATTATGGCCCAAACATCGACATGGAGATGGGGATAGGGCCAAAGAATAAGCATACCTCTTTTGATAAAGATCGGTCAATATTTAGCGGGTCAAATGGACCCTGACTTTTGTGTGAAAAATTACAAAATTTTTACTCTATAACGTATATATTTACCCCTGAATGACATAGACCAATTTGAAATTTTCCATGAGGATCCAGGTATGGTCAAGGACATCGCCTGTAATTTTCGGTGATTACCAGATAATAATATTGGCATGAAGTGGACCGAAAACTTAATTTTGTTGGATTTTTTTCGAGCCGATCTATAGGCCACATTTGAAATCCGAACATAACAACACAACCCACGTTGGAGGTCAAGAGAGTGCAAATATTGCCCAAGATCCAATTATAGAACCACACAAAGTTAGATTTTCATGGAAGTTGTGGTCGGCCTCGTCCAACTATACTTCTCCGCTCACTGGTTTTTGGATTGCATTTCTATCAATGCTGAAACTCTATTTTCTGTGCTAGTCGGGACAAAATGTCTTTCTAATTCTAAATCCCTTACATATTCCAGTATATCTCCCATATTTGTGTTCTTATATCAAGAGACTGATATCAGATTAGAGGTCAACTGCTTCTTCGATATGTACTGACAACTTTTCCGTATCAGATCTTAAAGAATGAATGTTGCAATCTTTTGGGCGATAACTCGATTAGATTTTTAAAGTGCAAGTCACATAAGACCATATAAATATAAATATTCTGGAGCAGAACAAAATCTTTCCGTCTCTTTACTACGCCCGCATGTCTGTTGATATCACGTTAGAACGCGCAATATTTAAGATAGAGATCTGAAATTTTGCATGGGAAAATGGGATAAATAGGTCCACTTTTTAGACCAACCACCCCCCCCCCCCATTTTATATTGGGGGTACCCCCAATATTCGGCATTTTGCTGCTTTTGAGCATGTCTTTCAACTTAACTTTGGGTATAGGAACTATATACGGATTCAACTCCTGTATAGGGTCCAGGTGCCTTTTCCCACCGAGGCGTTGTAATTTGACATACCGGGTTCATGGAGGTTGAAAATCGTATTACAGAAAATAAAGGTCTGCATTTTGGTATGGTTCCAATATAACGTTACCGCTCCATTTTCGGTTTTTGAAAAGCTTCAGCGGAATTCACTTACCAATATGACCGTAATTTAACATTACAGACCGCTTTATAGGTATTTTGGTGATCTCACACGTATTTTTCCACCGAAGTGTATTTAATTTGATATTCCACATCCTTTGGGGATGGAAAACATCTGTGCAGACAGTTTTCAATGTGCGTCCAAATTTTTGTATAGCTACTATATAAATGTACACAACTTCTCATTTTTGTAACTCAAATTTCCAACCGAAGGGACCGTAACTTAACATAATGTTCAATAAAGGTCCATATTTTTATAGGGACAACACATTAAGTTTACGTCATATTTTATGAATTTAGATGGCTCGAGACGCATATTCCAACCGAT